AGGCTGACTGTAAGAAAGCATCTCGTGGCTTGCAGCTTGCACATATTTAGATCCTTGTGATTTCAAGTCAGTCCTGCAAATACGAAAAAGAAATGAGGACGGGAACAAAGATGCTTCCGCCACCAGTTCCAGACGCGGCAGCCAATGCGGAGGACCTCGACCGCAGAATGTTGCGTCGAGTTCTGTCGTGTCGCATTTGCCTTGAAGGTGTATGTGCCCTGGGTTGCGGGCACCAGGATAAGAAGAGTGCAGAATCTCCTGAGCATCTGTGCGTGAATGATCGCTGAACCCGAAGATCGCAGGTCGGGCTTGAAGAGTCTCCAGATCATCACGAAGCAACTCTGGAAACACGTTAAAGGGAACCAATAAAATTCACGAGATGCTTCAATGCCCCATGCCAACTCTGATTCTGCCAACAAAGCTCTCGCTGCGGTCGAGCCAAGCTGACTCCCAAGCCTGCGAGAAATGCAGCCGCTTGTTCACAATCTTGCTCATTCAAACAGCTTGATCACAGATCTTCCCTTCCAGCTCTCTGAAACGCGCTTTCGCTTGCTCGAGTTTCTACGCTGGCAAGACATGGCCGACATCCAAAAGCTTCAACCTTTCAAGCCACAACCGCAGACGGTTCAGATACTGCTCTGCCACTACAGTTTGCCGTAAGCATGTCAATGTCCTCTTGAGGTCAACCAATCGAAGCGTGTGTTCACCAGCTTTGCAGAAAGCGGTATCAAATGAAATGTGGCCGGCCTTTCGCCCGGTGGCACGGCATGTTTTGCCGCCGCTCCTTTGGACGCATGTTTTGGTTTGGGGCGATGATTCATGCGCTGATACCCAAAGGGTAACCAAAACCCTGAGGCAGAACTGCGAAAACAAAACTCGAGGGGGACTATGCTGAAATATGCTGCTAAAGCACGCGGCTTGCTGAAAAGACAGAACAAAGTTAACGTCACAGATGAGGTCCTGAGGGAGTTAACCCTAAAACCTGACTCTACATCAAGCCCTAAATGGGGGAGGAGGGCTGGGGAATCTACTCAAACGAAGAAGGGGCGTTCACATGTCTTCTTGGGGGGGAGGCTCTGCGAGATCGGGGGAATGGGGGAACTGGGCAACAAATAAACCCATGTTTTAAAATAGTTCCTGGAGATCTGCTTTTTTTGTTATGTTTGTTCCCCCCCCCCCCCCCTCCACCCTACCCCACTCCCCCCCCCCTTGCCCCCACCCCGATGCAGAATTAATCCGGCACTGAATCCCGAGAAAAATCAATGTTGACTGCGGTACCCTAGCAACCAGGTTAAGCCTTGAAGACAGCAGAACTTTAAACCATCACATTAACCCTTGAAAACACTAAAACTTAGCACCATGAAATCGCGGGCCTGTAGTGGTTCCATTTCTGAATAGAACATACAATGTTCTGTGTTATGAATTATACGTCAGAAATTACGGATTACCTTCATGCCATATGTTCTATATTATGTTTCTCCATTATGCATTATATTATGTATAAAGAGAGTACGTATTACAATATTCACATGTATACATATACACATTGTTTGTATTGTATCTATGTTTTATGTGTAAATATGCATACATCTAAGTACGAATATAGATATCAATATAGGATATACATGTATATCAGCCTTAAATTTGTAGACGTATTTTACACATTATATATGCAATGTATGCTATACATCTATATATTGTCTCACATAAAAGTCTATAAGTATATATATATATAGTATGTACGGTGATGGTGTATAATAAAAACTACGACAAATAATGTACAAGATGTGATATGCCACGTATCATCCTTGTACATTTAATAGAAATACCTTCCCCCTAATATTACCCCCCCCCCCCCCCCCCCCCCCCCCTAATTTTAAAAACCCCCCCTATAATTTTACAGCATTGGAGGGGGGTAGTTGATATCAGGGGGAAGGGGGGGGGGGGTGTTCATATTAGGAGGGAAGGGATTACGTATTGTATCGTCTATGGTAATTCTAGAATATATAGTATGCACAAACTATAAAATATAATGCCCCTCAGAACAGGTGGATAACAAATCGCCACCGATGGCAACTTATGTTAATGCACTTTAGCCTGCAATCGAGTGGCATGCTGACCGCACACTGGTGAAGCGACGGACATTCGAGTCTTCCGTGCAATGTGCACACAGACCCTGGCACGAGGCAGGGTTGCACAGAGCCTAAGGGCCGGGGCTACACAAACCACGTTTGAGAATCTTGCGATGACAGGTTGTGACCATGCTGTCATGCCGTTAACTTGGGAACAAAGACTGTGTTACAGCGCCTTTCGGCACACCAGGTCTCCGCACTGTGTGTCGGCCTGTCAGAACGCAGTTCTTGGGAGTCGCACAGGCCCCATTCCAAGGTGGGCACTCCGCTTCGGCTCCTGCTCCGTGGAACATTTCCTTCCTTTGATGACGCCGCGGAGGTCACTCCAGGCCACCTCAGCGACATGATCATGCACATGGCAGCTTGAGGACATGAGGCTACTTGTGGACAACGGCCGTCGCCCTAAGGGGTTGACGCATGTTTCGGGTGCTTCGCATACCCGAACTCACCAAACCTTGCTGACAGCAGTTGGCATGCGGACTATGGGAAGGGCAGCGACAATTTGTTTCTCGCAGGAGCGCCAAGCCATGAAGTGAGGATCCAGCTTGCTTGGTTCTGGCACAGCAGGCGGCATGTGTGCTTTGTCTATATCGTTTCTGACTGCATGCAGGTCCGAAGCAGCATGCAGGTCCGGGGCAGCCTGCACATGGGCCGATTTTGTTCTCTTGGCGAAAGCAAGCCTGATGTCTCTGGCATGCACCCGAACTATACCGAAGGTCAGAGTGGGCAGATGCATTCAGTGCACACAGACCAGATTCCACCGCAATTCACAAAATGACTACAAAAAGGCGATTGCAAACAACACATTGCATATCATTGCATCCTCCGGACGACTGCCGTTGATGAGGACTTCCACCTGCCGCAAGCCACGAAAGCTAACTTGGCAACTGGGCAATCCACGCACCCTGGCTTCAAGCACCCTGCAAATCAAATGCTGAGGACAATGTGAATTAAAACGCTCAGCGCTTTGTGTTTCCATCCGCTTCGAACGTCAATGGGTTGTGCATCTTTTCGTCGCACAGCTGTGGGTCTGGTTCGCGGTGTGACGTGTGCAACGAACGGCCTGCTACAACGCTGATTCGAGCTCTGTGTGTGCTGTGCGCCGCATTACCAAGAGCTTTTTTGCTCAGGCACGGGATCTCGAGCCCCACTACTGAATCAACCACAACAGCCAACTGCGGGTGCAAACCCGCTACTAGTAGGTGCGCTCGATCATGAAACCCACTTTCAATTGAAACATCGTGGTCAGGATTACTTCGGGTTAGCTTTGGGCAGAAGCCGATGCAAACCCAGGCCTGCGCCGCAGGCAGCGGATCTGAGCCAGTGCCTACAAACATGCTTACATGGACGCTCATCTTCACAAAGTTCCACACTTTGCATTCGCTAATGACGCCTCTCGACAATCCCAGCCCATCACTTGGGGCCTAGCCCCGAGAACTGGCAAAAATATCCCAGAGCCCCTTCTGAAAGCCTTTGGCTTGGCTTGCGCAGCCCGCAGCACCAAAACCAGAAGCAAGGCCCTAGCCATGCCTCAGCCCAACACTTGTAACAGTGCCTGCTTCTCACTGACAGAAGCACACTGAAACACCATGCCAATGTGCTAATGACATGACTCAGCGACCCGCTTTTCACGGCTGGTAAATTGTTGGGCAGCCCCGAAGCTGCTTCCACAAGCTACCTGAATCCAGCACTCTTTCAAAGTGCCATGAAACAATCTTTGGAAGTCCGCCTGGCCTCTGCATTAGAAATGGATCCCCGCACCACAGAACGTGGACTTTCTGCGGAGTTTCCTATGACAGAGCCACACAGCGGCCGCGCGCCATCGCATCATCACCCTCACAGCATTCCAAGGTATAACGACTCAGGAAATGCATTGGTGCGGAAGTCATTGCAGGGGCGTCTTGGAGAACAAGCTCTTTAATGTTTGGGAAACCCGTGTTTTTTTTTGTCTGCCCCGCCCCCCCCCCCCCTTCCCAACCTCCTCCCAACTGCCATAAAACAATGACATGAACACAATAAACGATGTTCGATTCGAGAACTTTGCCATACGGAAACTTGCAAGGTAAAATGAAAGCAACGGAAAACGACATCAATACTCATGTTTCCTGGAAGCATTGGCATGCGAAGCTTGCACTGCAAAGCATGCGCCGTGAATCCAGGTTCCAGCATCGGCAATTCATTCGCCGGCTGTATATTCTAAACCTGCATGGTTTGGCCAAGCTTGCATTGCCGAACAAAAAACGCACAGAATCATGGAACAATGCGGAGCATGCTTGAACGCCGACAAACAGCTGAAAACCACAGAAGTGTGCCGAGTTCTGCTGGTGGTTATGGCTTATAAATTATTGTTTCGGCGACAATCGGGTTTGCGTCGTTCCTACGGTTTGCACAATGTAACAATGTCCACTCCGGGCAAACAGGAACGTGCAATGATTGCCTGCCTTTTGAACAAAGATTTTTTGGCCGACCCGCCCCCCCCCCTCCTTGGCATATGGCAGCTCAAGCTTGAACGGCGCTTTGACATGGCCGCTTCACCCGATACGGGAAACCAGTATGACAGCATCACCCCCTTCGGTCCTTTGCAAGGCTTAACTAATGAACAAAGCACACCGAGGCGCAAGCGCAAAGGAACAAGAGCGGCGGACAGCGAATCACGGAATGCAAAGCCTCCCTGTCGAAGCGAACCGAAGCAAGATCGGCTTTGCGACATTTTGCGACCATGCACTGACCAGGCGATCAGCGGAGCGAATGGGCGTGACAAACTTAGCAAGCGGCCATCTTCGTCATGAGCTTGCCAACCAAGTATACGAATGTGCACGACACGTTAGCACCGTGCCCCTTGAGAAGCTAATTTTGCCCCCCCTCTCCTCACTCTGGAAAGGGGTCTTTTGCAACTGTCCGAATTCGAATGTTGCGAACTTGGCTCAAAAATGCTTGTAGATCTGGCGGCAACGGGCACTCGACTGCATGGCGTCTGCCATCAATGCTCTGGAAAGAGAGCCTGCAACGGTGCAGCCAGTTGCCAGTGTAATACTTCGAGTCGGCGCGATAAGTGGGCACAGCCTGATACACCTCGTCGCCAATGACTGGTGACCCAACATGAGCCAAATGGCTCCTTATCTGATGCTTTCTTCCCGTACGGAGGCGAAGCATTAGGCTGCTGACAGTGCCCAAGCGATGCAAGCAATGGCAGCAGAGTAGTAGGAGCGTGCTGCTGGGCTTGCCCCTTCCACCTGACACACTGGGGCCATCTCCATGCCAGTAGATCTGTGCCTTGAACTCTGCCCGTGGCGGGAGCCAGCCATGGCATAAAGCTTTGTAGTCACGGTGCACACGCCCAGCATGAAGCTGCAATTGTAAGTCGTAAAATGCCTCAAAAGTCTTCGAAACCAAAATCAAGCCCGTGCTGGGCACATCAAGTCGGTGCAGAAATCCGTGGTGATGGCTTGCATCACGGAAGATTCGCCGAGCCCCATACTGCTCCAGCAAGAAAGCTACAAGCTGTAGTTGGGAGTGGCCCCCATACACCTCCCAGCCACGCGGCTTATACACAGCCGCCCGATCAGGCATGTCCACCACAACTGAAGCCTTCTGAAGCCCTCGCGGCAACTCCATGATTGAGGCTGGGTCCTTGACAATGGCTTGAAGGGTGCTCCCTGAACTAGCAATTGGGCTAGCAGGGCTTGCATCCAAATCACGCCCGACGTCGAGGAGAAGCCGACGTACAGTTGCACAAAAGTGCGCTTGTAAGCACCCCGACAAACGACAGGAGAAAACGAGACCCAGGAGCTTAAGCCCAGACTTTGGAAAGTCGTAGTTGTGCAGACTGAGTGTGCGACCAACACTTCTCAGTACGTCTTGAGTGTGTGCCACAGCTGCTTCCATCAAGCTTGCTGCACCGGGTAAGCCAATGGCACCCCAACAGCACATCACCAACATGTCGAGGCTTAGTGATGATATCCTGTCATGGATATGCCGGGCAACTGCTTCGTGCCTTCTAGTACTTGCTCCCAAGAGAGCCGTCGAGTACAGATACAGCGCTGAATCTCCTGCCTCCCAGTTGTCAACATCTGAATCTACGGCGTCCATGCAAGCCATGCTGATAGTTTCAGGGTTTGAAACACATAGCACAGATAAGGACCACAACAGAGACAGCGGTGAACGAGAATGCTCCGACATTGACAGAACCTCAAATGCTGTCCGTGTCTCGCCAGAGTCGAGACAAGACATGAGAATTGAGTCGCAAGTCATGAGGTCCGGCTGCAACACGTTCAGAGGCATTGACATCAAGACTTGCAGAGCCATCTCCCATGCCCGCCCTTTCCCGCACGAGCTGACCAAAACGTTAAAGCCAATGAGATCGGCTTTAAGGCGTCTCCTTGGCACACCCATCAGGAGGTCCAAAGACTGCTGCCAGCTTCTGGCTGTTTCAGAAATTTCATACGCAACCAGGACACAGTTGTAAGCAACGATGCTTGTCAGCTTCCATTGCTGCAGCTGTGCCAAGGTAGACAACGTCAGCTGCCAGTTCGCCACAGCATTGATCGAGCTCATGACGGCACCGTGTGCAACAGTCGAGGTCTCCAGCCTTTGTAGAAACATACACGACTGCAAATCCAAGGCAGAATACCATCGGCGAGCCGCTTCGCAGGCAGAGATCGCGGCCCCATAGGAGACAATGTCGGGTGTGAACCGAGCACCTGCGCAGGCCAACAGCGCAGCATGGTTGCAGCATGGCTTCCTGGGACTTTTTTGCACCGCTGAGGCCTGAGGTGGCGAAGTGTCGAAGTGCATGATTCCATTGCGCGGCTCTGCCACAGCCTGTTATCACGGCATTGTGCACAGGCACCTTAACTCGCACGGCTAGGGCAGTTCCCGGAGAACACGTGGGATGTCATAGGTACACCTATTGCTCAAGCACAAGTTTGTGCACCCTTCGCTTCCCATTAGTGCACCCTTCGCTTCCTATTGGGAGCGAAGCCGCTCCATCGCGATACGGGCACGTGACAAAGTAAGCCTCCTTGCTGCCAAGCCGCCCAAGCCACGTCAAGAGCAGGAGCAGCTTTGCTGCTGAGCAAGTTGAGCAAGGCACTGACCTGTCGCCACTGCTGCTTGCAACCGAAGGCGTCAACTGCTGCCAGGCATGACGCAGCGTCGATGCCCAGTCTGGCGTTCCCAAGGTTAAAGAAGATTTTCGAAGCCAGCTCCCACGAATTGTCTGTCATTTTGGTGCCCGCGCTCATGGCTCTCATCACCGTCCGGTGCGACACGGCGTCAGAACAGCGGCCGTGCAATGAGAGAATGTCCAGGGCCGCTCCCCAGTTCTCCGATCCAAGGGATGCGATCAACGTGTTGAGCGCAACGCTGTCTGCCTCGACTCTGCATTCGGCCGCTTGGCAAAACAGCCTAAGCGCCTGCAGCCATGCACGAGCTCTGCTGCAAGCACGCAGAGCAAGACTGCAAGTTTGCAAGGTAGGCCCGAGAGACATCTCCACGGAGTTCTGGAACAAATGTAGGCTTTGGAACCATGCCCCGCAATCGTCCAGAGCAGTGGCTGCTGCAACAAAAGCAGCGAGGTCTCGGTTACTTTCTCTTGTCATCAATGTGTGAAGAATAGTCAGTGTCTGACTCCATCTGTCTGGATGACCTGCTGATAGCATGGCACTGTTTGTTGCCACGTCCGTGCGCAGCAACATCCCTCGTGCATGTGACAAAATCATCAGCGACTTGTGCCACTCCCGCGCGGACGCGCATGCTTTGAGCATAGGAGGGAAATGCCTTGCGTCGACAACTTGGCGCGGCAAAGTCAACAAATTCACCAAAGCCCTGTGCCAGTTACCCTCGCCATGGGCATGTAAGATGCAACCGTAGGTCAGCGCATCGCTGGAAAGTGAGGTCCCCACAAGCTGCGATGTGAAAGCGAGCACTCTCTCCCACTGGCTGGGTTGGGATCGGTCAAGTGCAACGGCCGCAGCATTGCTAACTCGAACGTTGAGTTCCACAGCTTCCACCAGCATGTTCAAGACGAGCGCCAACGCTTGCTCCCAGTGGCTCAACGAAATTGCAACACATCCTGCTACCGAATCGACCTGCAGTCCATGGCTCTGCAGCTTGGAGAACAACTTTCCAGCCCGTTGCCACTTTCCGCCATCGCCAGCACGCACTAGTGTCGTGACAGCAGCTGCATCAAGCTCACATCTGCCAGATGTCATGTGTCCCACTGCCAGGTAGGCATGCTCCCAGTGCCGCTCTTGCACAAAAGTGTTCAGCGCGGTGTTGTACACCACTTCGTCTGGAAGAAGACCAACTGATTGCAACTCTCGCAATGACAAGAGTGCGCAGGTCCAGCGCCGCATATTCCAAGCCATGTCATTTGCCACAGCCTCTGGCTGCACGGCAGAACGACGCAGCAAGTGAAGAAGCCATGGTGCTTGCATCCACCTGCTGTGCTTGCATTGCATCGGTGCACATCTTGGCCGCTCCTGGCTGTCTAAACATGCCCCAACCTTTACCATGGAATGATCTTGTCTGATCCTGCGATGCTCTCACTGCCTTCTCTGCCCCCACATCGCAGAGATGCAGATTGGACTTCTAGCTGGAACACAAGTCTGGCGCTCATCCCGGCAGCTCCTCTCGACGCCCGTCACAGAACTTCAGCGACCCATGTCATAAGGACGGCGCGCCTCACCAGGCTGGTCGAGCACGCCAGCTCTGTGTGAGGCGACTATGGAAACATGTAGGGTCGGCGGGCAAGATTCTAGGAGGCTAGAACCACTTAGGGCATCAAGGAGCCGAACCACTGGAAACGAATAGCAGTTCTCATGTCTGTCATCTTCGTCCAAAGGGTCCTACGTAAGGCTTATGGATCTGCACCTGGCAGGGAGGTTTCTTGAGGGGAGGGCCCCTTGCAATGGTAAGGAAACCAGAAGCAACGGAGCAGCGAGGCACACTGAGGTACAATATGAGTTCACAATGAGGCACTGTCATTTTCCCCCACTTTCAAGGGTCATGGACTGTCGTGGCAATCAATGCCAACCTTGGCTGCCTTCTCAAGCTGCAGACGGATGTCTGGTAAAGCTGGCCCCACATTACCGCCTGTGCCACGATTGTCTCGAATTGTTGGCTGCGGGCACACCAGACACTGAAGAGACCGCGGAAAGATTATCGTCGAGCAGGTAGACCGTTGCAAGGCATTCTTCCCACGCGAGATGCGCTCGGACTCCAGAGGCAGAGGGGGAACATGACCCAGCGGCTCAGAAACTGGATCTGGGTGCCGGTTGCCTTCGGCACTTCCAGCGTCGCCTCGAAGGCTGTCATTGTGAGTGACCTTACATGAAAAGCCAACATGACATGAGGGTCTTTTGGCTCAAGACACGTAGACATGTCAAGGAAGTTTCGGCACACATGCTCCGAATGAGGTGTCGAGGCACCAGAACTTCAACTTCCGGATGGTTCAGGCACGAACACAGTGGTGGTGTCCCGCTTCCCAGCCTCTTTGCCATGGGCCAGGATGCGGCAGACGTGGCAAAAGGTGAGCCGAATGCTGAAGTCAAGGATGAGAGTGTCACCCATCCCATTTCTGTCGCCACTGGTGCGAAACGCAGAGAAGCTTGGACGGACTGAAACCTGCACCAAAGCCCTAGCAGATTCAAGCACATCATGCGGCACCCAATGATGGGACATGGGGGAGATTCGCACAGCTTAAATTTGACATCCAGTGGCCGAACTTCTTGGCATGCTCCCGAAGCTTCTGCAGAGACTGAACATCCAGCGCTGGTTCTCGCGACAGCAGCCACAACTTGCTGCGATCAGTCGTGCCAACCATTCCAACCTGGTGTGTGTTCTTTACAAAGGGTCCAGGTCCCGGCAACTCAACCCCTTCGCGTCCCGCAATGTTGCTGCAGCTGAGGTCATGACCCTGGCATTGTCTGAACCTCAGATCTTGTGACAATCCTGACAGCTGCACTTGACATTTTGGGAGGTGGTCTGTTGGCATTTCCATGCATGTCTCGGCTTCACTGACACGCAGGAAGAAGGGTTTCAGTAGTGGCACTGCAATACTATCATACCGTGCTATACTGCACTATCATCAGCTCTGCTTCGGACAGTAGAGGACCACGTAGCGAGGAAGCCTCGGCTGCGCCAGATTCCTGCAATGCTTGCCGGCTTGCTGAGCTTGCTTGCGGCTCTGTACGGCTCTGTGAAACTGTGAAAATAGTAACATGGTGAGCAGTGGTGCTCTGGTGCCAAGCCACACACTCGAAGTAGCTCCCAGCTGCGGCTGCCGCTGAAACTCAGAGCGTAAGGGGCCCATCACTGCCAGGTGCTCCTGAACAGCATCTTGACTCTTGACCGTCACGACATGAAGACAACGTATCATCAAGAGATCAGCTGTAGCACGAAGTGCAACTTGCAGCTTGAATGCAAGATTCCTCATGGATAAGTCGCTTGTCACCCTGGCGACTGATATAGCGGACCATGACCACTGACCTAGCAAGGAAACCATGCATCTTGCAGGCAGGGGCGGCACAGAATTCAGCCAACAGGCTCCGATGCATCGAGCCGGTAGTCCCTGACGATGTTGGAGCTAGCCTGGTCCAAAAAGCCAGATCAGGCAAAGCGACACGACGGAGCCCCTTTCCTGCCACAAGGAACCTCGCGCCTCCTCGAAACCGTTCGGAACATGCCACATGACATACCAGATGCCCATGAATTTGTTGAGTTGGAAGCGAGAGCCGTCCTCAGCAAAAGCACGCTGAGCATGTTGCAAGACGCGACCTCAGAAAACTCGGTTCATGCTGTACCGGGTTCGCAGGCCACCTATGAGAAGCGTCCAGCTCATTGTTACAGCCATGGCACCGTAACAGCCGCGTCTTGCAGTGAAGGGAGCCCATTCTTCACCGCAGCACGCGGCCTCATTTCAAGCCGGGCTTGGAGCATCTGCTGGCCTGTGAACGTTAAGACTTTCAGTGACTGAGTGACAGGGTCCGGCCCTCTAAGTGTCTGAATAACTTGGTCTGGTCTGAGCGGCTGAGTGCCTGAGCAACTATACACGCTCTCCTCAATTGTTTGGTTGGGGTCGATTGAGATAGCGTATTTGAAGCCAGTCGTCAGACACTCAGTCGCCTCAACCAGACCCAGTGGCTCAGGCACTCAGCCCTCAGAGCAGATTCAGTCATTCAGACACTCAGACTTCTATTTTCGGAGGCTGGACCCAGTCTCTCAGTCACTGAGGTCCTCGCCTTCACAGGCCAGACCCAGTCACTCAGTTAGACCCTTGTGAGTGTCTGAGTGTCTAAGCGGCTGAGTGGCTGAGTGTCTGAGTGTCTGAGTGTCTGATTTCAAAAACACCCATCAGCACGAGCCCAATCGAATATTCTGAACAATGTCGAGTGGCATGACCGCCACTCGCTGGCCATGACTCCACTCCTCACACCACGCTCTATCAAAACAAGTCCATTTCACTGCGCAACTGAACTTCTGACAAGGACTCACTGGATCTCATTGCTAACACAGGACAGCACGAGCTGCAAAATAGGGGGAGCTGTTTGAATCTACTTACTGTGGGATGCAGGTGACATTTACTTTTGTTCAGCTTTGCGGCCTGCAAGCACACGAGGAAGAGGTGAAGGTCGGTACTGCCTCAGGCACTGGCTGATCCTTTCTCGCTCGCGGCTGCCCCAAAGTAACCAATATCACCTCCCATTGATTCGTACTTCCACTGGGAGTTGTGCTGTTCTGAGTTGCAGTGCCCTCCGAGAAGAAAGGGCCTGAGAGTTCTTGTTGGCAGGGGACTGGCAAGGTGGCTTCACACATTCTACTGTACGTATTAATTAGACCCCTGGCATCATCGGACGGAGCGTGACACACCTTCGTTTTTCTTTGCATCGTCAGGCGCAAGCCTCCGTCAACCGTCTTATCGGGCCAACATCGAAGCTACAAACGCGCGTCTTGTCGACCTTACAAGAAGCGATCTGCGTGCTTCCAGAAGTTGTCCGATGAGAGAAAGTCTGCTCGCTGCACTGAATCCAGCAACACTTCCGAAAAGCCTGCTGGTCCCCAGTCTCACTGCGACTGAACACAATACCTTCTGGTAAACTCCATCATGCCTCATCACCTCTCGGACTGCCTGAGCTTTGCATTGTCGCACAGCTCCTGCTGGCCAATCTGTGCACGGAACTGTTTGAGGATCAAAGCAGGGAGATGAATGACGGAAGGCTCAAGCTTTGATAATGAAACCACATGCATACGCTTGGTGGCCAGTGGGAAGCAGCTGTTCATCAGCTCTTGCAGCTTTTCGGAAGCCTTTGCCCGCAGCCACGTTCGTTGTCCATCGTGGTCGGAGTTTGCGACACGCAATAAGCCGAGGTCACATGTTCAGCGGTCGGCAGGGCCAAAGAATGGAGTCGGCAAAACGCACCACGATGCCTGCATGTGCTGCTGGTCGGCCGTTGCAGATGGATGCATGGCAGCGTGGTAGTTCCTGCCACTGCCGTGAAATCAGACGTCAGACCTGGCTCTCCCATACCAAGAGCCACCTGTGGACAGCCAAGTGGAATTGAGCCATATGGCTACAAGAAACATTCACACTCAAACTTGCTCTCTGATGCTCAGTGCAGAGTCAGACAGGGCAATGCTGTACAATTGCGCTGGCCTGCCAGATGCTTGCTCTGGGGCGCCTTGTCCAAGTAGAAGGCGCCTGCGTGTACCACAACAACTTTGGTCCGAGAGCACACATGCCCCTGCCATGTTGGAGGCAACTTGCCTGACACTAGATTGCGGGACGCCGTAGTGCACAGCCACGCGATGCCCTGGGCCGCACCGATCAAGCTCGCGCGATCTTGCCAACGAGAGAGCGATGGTTTGGCCCGTCGGTTGATGAAGAAAGCTAGAGCCGATGATCAGGTGTTCGTTTGTGCTGTTTGTTTGGGCATCGGATTGGGTCGTCTTGTGCAGGACTTAAAGTCGAAGTTCACTCCTCCGCCTCTGGCTAATTTCGAGCAACACAAAAACAAAGCTACTAAGAGTGCTGGATGTACAGCACAAACGGGGGCCTCGGCACCCGACCAGGCATCACGCATTGGCTCCATCAGTACAGATCCTCGCAGGCGCTCATCTCAAGGTGTTTTAATCAAAAATGTCACGTGTCGACACACTCCGACGTGAGGTTTGAGCAATTTTGAGCAGCCAAGCCACTTTCTCCGTAAATGTCTGTTGCCAGCTTGTCCTCAACCCATCCTGAGCAAATGGAACCGGCACGAACTCCTGCAAACCAAACCATGTACTATGCGGAATCAATGGACTGAACTGGCTTGGATCACGATTCCAATCTGAATCACGCCATGCTTCCTGCATGGCAACTGACAACTTTCACTTCCGAAAATTCCGTGGCCCAGTGCTCGCAAAGAAGAACCTGCGGGCAGATTGTAATAGCAAGACCGGTCACCAACATGTAGGTGCAAGTCGATAGCAACTACCAGGCTGGCCTGTCCCCGTTTCACATAGGAAAATGCGAGAAGGCCAACGTACTCCTGCAACGTAGCGCCGCCAGAAATGCAGAAACACAGCACGTCACAGCTTGCTCCTGTAACTCTCAGATCCTTGGGCATGCAACGAATTTGCTCACCCAGCTTCAACCGCAGAGAACATTCTGCCTCCGTAGCTTCTGCACTTCTGCCCAAGACGCCGCAGGAACCGTAGAGAATCCCGCAGAGGAATCCCACAGAGAATTCTGTAGAGAATCCCACACAGAACCGCGGAGAGTGGAGAATACTGCACAAGTAGAGAGAACCACGCGGAATACAGAGTACCCTTGGACCCCGGGAGCATCCTGCATGGGATTCCCTGCGGACGGGCACTCCGCAAATACTCTGCAGGAATTTCTGAAGCTTTTTGAGGAGACAAGGTGAGATAAAATCGAACACCCTCACATCGAGGGTGGGGAGTTATGTTCTTCGAAGATCTCTAACGCGCACCGTAGCAGGGATACTCTGCGTGCCGAATTGCCGGATTCTCTGAAGATCTTTCTGGAGGTGGAAAACCCGCAAAGGAAGCAAAGGAGGCAACGGAGGCAAAGGAGCGCTGGAGACCCGGTCGAGGAGAGAATGGCTGAGATAAGATCTGGGTGGGGAAAACAGGGAGCAAAACAAAAGCAAGACGGAGCAGAAGAATTTGCCCTCCGCACACACAGGGCGTGCTTATGCTTCATGACGACACGCAGCATAGACTTGCACACGCAGGACGTGCCCACAGCTCCTGCAACTTATCGCCTTGCTTTTGCTAAGTTACGCCTGCGCCAGAGCAACAGCGAGTCGCCAGGTCAGGCGAGTCTGTACATGATGTGGGCCCCTCGAGCAGTGGTGAATATGTCGCTCAGGCTGCCAACCTGGGTCATGAAGTGCCCATGTTGATTTGCATCTCAAAGAAAGAAAAGCAGTCTAAGCACAGCACATCCAAATCGAAGGCCACCGCATCGAAATCTTTGCCGAATTGGCCTTGCGCTCACGCTTCTAAGGCCTTGCAACTGCATGGGTGGCCCTCCCTCTCCCACCTTCCAGGACCCAGCCCAGGTCTGCGTGAGGCTTGTTTGTGGCAGACTTGCAGTCCTCGGTTGCACAGGGACAACGTGCTGAAATCAGAGACCTGCCATGACCTGCCCCATGACCTGCCCCATGACCTGCCCTCCCTGACACAACGGTCCAAGGCAAGTGGCGGACAGCGCCTCACATTTGGCAGCGAATCGGAGGCCAAGGTCCTCCAAAAGCGGCTACACCCTATGCGCAGGGAGATACTCTGCACAAAGGGCATCGGACATGGCACATGCGGCATCAAAGTATAAAAAAAGAAAAAAGAAAACAAAAGATGTGGAACAGGCCTTGGCCTCTCCAGGCTTGGGATCCTGACTCAAAGCTTCGAGAACCTGGAAGCGGGGAAGTCTCGTGTCTCGTAATCAGAGCCCCCGAATTTGCCCCATCAAATCCCATCACCTGCAGGAGCTCCTTTTCTGCATCTGCCTGGTAGGAGGGGGGAGGAGAGAGGGGGCGGTCAGCGTCGAAGCTCTAAAAAGACCGGTATCGAAGCCGAAGTGCCTGCGATCGACTCGCAGGAGCCTTGCGCCGGGCATAGGAGTCAGCTTCACCGACCTCCCAAGGACCACGTGGACACACACATCCCGCACATGCTGCAGCGATCAACTGATCAACAACGGACCATGACAAGTCAAGGGCTGCTGTCAGCCTGTGACATCGCGCCTTTGACTGCAGACAAGTGGCCCCAGCATACTTGAGCAATAAGGATGCAACGCGAACTTTGCGCTTGCCACCAGGAGTAACATGTTCCACCTCGATGCAAGAACACATTTTGATAACCTTTAAATTTTCGTCCTGTTGAAACATCTGCTGACCGGACCTTGCGTTTCTTTGCCTCAGGCCCCTTGGCATCAGTCGCTGAATTGCTTTCCGTCTCCGTGCCAACCTGCGAAAGCGCAAAGACGAAGAAGCGCTAGTTCTTTCCTTCCGCTGGCCTGCAAGGCAACAGCAAGCACCCCAACAGCTTCGCGGGGTGCTGTAGAGGCTGCATCAGCAGCGATGCCTTGCCAGCATGCTGATGAACGCTGATCGTGTCTGGCATGAGTAGAAAGAACCTAGGCATGAGCCCTCGATTTCTCCGTGGGCTAGTGCTCGCGTCAGACAGGGTGCGCATTGAAGCAGCCTTCGGTCGGCCATGGTGGACCTCGTTTGAGGTGCAAACCGAGGGCCCAGGAAAGGTAGTCCAGATCCGAAAGCTAGCCCAGATCCGAAGGTAGGCACACGACTCCAAACGCTCAACACCCTGAAACCCTAAACAGCCGACATAACTTTTGCAACCGGACTCCTTGCCGCCAGGAAGCCTAAATACCACAAACCCTCGATACCTTAAAACACCCTGCAGAGCCCTGTGCTCAATACCCTAAAACCCAAACACCAGCCCTAGATACCCTGCACGCTTTGCATCCGGGCTAGGATGTCCTGGCCGGAAAGTCTCATCAACACTCTCAGACCCTAGCACTCGTGGCTACGACTAAAATCCTCCAATACTCTAAACCCTCAATACCCGAAGCCCTCAACTCAATACCCATGCCCTCACCTCAGTGGCTCGCAGCTTTCTGGACCTAGTCCGACCCTACGAGTACCTGCTGCAGCAAGACTGTCGTCCATTGTGCTTCCTGGCTCGTCCACCTGAGATCTCTCACACGTCCGAGGTGCCGCTGCCACCTCCGCCATGCGTTGCTGGCTGAGACCACCGGCCCCATCTGAGAGTAATGCCAGGAGCTGAGGCCCATCCTGTGGCAAAGTAACTTGCACTGCTTCCAGGCTTCAGCCTAGCATGCTGATTGACAAGACCAGCATAAGGGCGTGCAAGAGTTGCTGCAGGCGGCAGCCGTCGTCATGTTCAATCAGTCATATTTTGAAGCAGCGTACATATCCAACGAATGCAGAACGGCCAAGCAGCCTCCAATCGCACGATCTCGGACGATAGCTCCAAGCCAACTAGCGGCCTGGCAAGAGTCGTCGCTTGTCATGGAAATCCTTCCAAAAGGAAGCATGGCAATCCGCCAGGGAAGACCGTGCTCAGATACAAGATCCAGACCAAGCACAGATACGGCACCAGGAGGCAAAAAGACTCACAGGGCCTTTGTCTCTTCAGATCTCGGAAGCCTAGCGCTCTTGTGACTCTCACCTTGGTGAACAAATATGGAAACACATCTACACATCTCCCGACAGCACAGGAATTGCAACGCAAAGTACGGGAAGTACATGTTGCCATCATCTTCCCTTTGGTGCGATCGGGCACTCACGCAAGGCATGATGTGATATGACATGCATGACACTCGAAGCCCAAAGGACAGGTATGGACAAGTCACCGAACGATCGCCGCTTGGCATCCAGAGTGGTGGAGTGGAAGGGCGAGCCGCAGCATCTGCCAGCTCGGCCAGGACACGGAATGCGCGCCTCGAGTGACTCGGACCTTGGCTGACAAGGCCAAGGCCATTTCCCAAAGGCTTCAACCACTTCAAAGGCTTCAAAGGCCTCAAAGGCTTCAAAGGCTTAAAAGGCTTAAAGGCTTCAAGGGCATCTTGCAGCCCAGGCACTCACGGCAGCTAGCTGCGTCAGCAACGCCCGGTAGCGTCGGTCAATCCCAGCTTGCGCAGCCGCTTCTCCACAACCCGGCTCGACACCTGAAGCCCACGTGAGCGGCTGACAAAACTCATTGTTCGATGAAAGGTTGTGCAATAAGTGCAATACTTACACGGTGGCGTTCGAGGATTGGCACGATTGCAGGGATATCGCTATAGGTGGGCCCCTTATCGATTTCAGTGGGGAAGTGCCAAAACCGGAACGCGCGCAACATCAAGACATCAATCTTGCACAAAATTTGTCCGATCCTCAAATGATCACGCGGTGAGTATGCAGAGCACCGCTTCAGGAAGCCCTGCCGGCCTAATAGGGCAGCTGCACGCTTGGACGAAGGGATGCCACCTTCCTCGTCAATGAGGTAGTAAAGCTCCGCCAGGATTTGCGTCACATAAACATCCATGCCTTGTTGACTCAAACTGATTTCGCCATCGTTTGTTTGGAATACATAGCTCTCAGACCACCCCAAAAAGAAAAACTTTAACCGGGGCATGAAAATGCCGAACAACCCATGAAGGACTCGACTTCCGCAGCCGCTTCTTGCACCTCGGAGCTGAGTCAGGGGTCAATTCCGAAACCACGCCAGGTTCCAGCAAAGCTGCTCTTGACAACGCTTGCCGCGCACGGTCCTGCAGACTGTCCTGAGTTTTGGGATCTTGCCATGGATGGCCTCTTGTTCTATGCAAACAAGGCAACAGCATGCGACAGCGACCGGCAATCGATCGAGCTAGAGGTGTTGTAGCCCTTCAATAGTCTGGATCCCCTGAAGCCTCACAGCCCTAAGCCATACTCAAGCCTGCCTGGATGGGTCTGGTGCGGCAGTGGAGCCTCAACCCTCGCCATGTCTTGATGAAATTAATCTGCCGCCGGGCTCGTTGGCCAGCGCCGGCGTCAGCTCAGCTTCACAGTCTGCCACTGCTTGCCGGAGGCTGGGGATACCGCCCTGCAAAAGATGCTGAAACATCAATTATTGTTGGTAATTGGTAATGCAAGTTATTATGTTATTGCATTGGATAATGAGGCTGCAAGGGATGTGCTGGAGTTGCTGCGATCGTGCAAACCTAGCTATGAAGCAGCACAAGACAAAGCCAACCATCTGCAACGGGCCAGGTCAGGCCTGAATGGCAGCCACTGACAGGCCGAGAGCCGCAAACGGATGGGCGGCATTGCCGACACGCAGAAGTACCCTGGCCAGGTCAAGCATTCCCAGGAAGCTACCCGTGGGATCCCATGTGGAAACCAATAGCCACCTCTTGCAGACCGAATGAACAATCGTCACCAACGCCTCAAAACCCCAGGAACAAAGGGAGCTCGCCGTTTCTCCAGTGCCATCTACCAAGTATAGTGAGCAGCAGGTT